ATACTTTTACACCGAGAGAATGACTTTAAAACTTACACTTTTTACAGTTTTAATCAACAGCATGTTGTAATGTATAATTACCTGTGAAAACTAATTAATTCACCTTACATTTCAGAAACAGAAATTCTTTGGTATTACACATTTTTTTTAGGAAATTAGTATGGCGTTCGCTGTTGCGTCATTTTTGATAATATACACGACTGATACCGGATGGTGCACAGACTACATGTCCTTAATCAATATGCTGGATACCATAAGTTTTATTAGTGAAATACACAAATACCTGAAAGTCTCAATATGAAAGGGGAAACAATAGTACAATGTTAATTTAGTCAAAGGGAATTGCAACCTTAGTTTCAGTGGAACGTAGCTTTCATATTTAAAACCAAATAATTTAGATAACAACTGTAAAACAGAACTAGTTTTAAACCAAGGAATTGAAAATTGTATGCTTCAGGAGATTTGATAAGCGACTTCACTCTATTTAGAAAGAATATATTTCCTTTGAAATTCAAATATATTGAATGAAAAATGTAGATAACAAGGCTGCCTTGTTTTGTAAATGTGCTCAGTAGTGTACAATCACAACTACTTATGATATATATGTAGGATTCAAATCTATGGCGGGTTCCAAATCTATGGCAGATTCCTAATCTATGGCAAATGTGACGTAACAAACGTCAAACAAATCAAATCTATGGCAGATTTTTGTTTTCTCCAAATCTATGGCAGATCTTTAAATTACGTCACAATAGAATGACGTAATATTACATCGTCGCCGCCGCAAACGTTGGCGGAACTCATAGATTTGAACACGATTCCAGATGAAGGTATTTCCCTCGACAACAATTTGCGGATGGTTTAAAGGAAGATATGACCTATTATCCGGAAGAGGGACAAAATGTGCTGTACCGGCCGAAACCCGCGATGAACAAAGGCACCGCTTTTTTCAGTACCGGATATTTTAGAAAAGGAGTTATAGTAAATATTTTACTGCCTACAGCTGGAAAATTTTATAAAGTGAAAGATAAAATTACCGGATACCAATTTGATTTAAATCGTCATCAAATAAAAATGATATTAACGATGAAGTAAATATTATTTGAAAATTCAAACTGTTCATTTTTATTTATCATTTTTGTTTTATAAAAAAAACTATCCCCTTTTTTTTGTTTATAAGGGACTTACTAGTTGGTTTAATGAATGGGTTAAATAGGTAACATGCACAGATTACAAAATGTTTATTTTTACGGTGCACATCATTTCAATCTTGAAGTCTGTATTAAGGTATATGATTTCATCATTCACGAATTTGATTGGTTGCCAACACGATTTGGTTGACCATTATGAAATGTTTATTTCACAAATATTTATATACATGCTCCCGTCGTACATGTCCACTTGTTTAAGACAAGTCATTAGTCGTATATGTACTGCATTGTTTTCCATTTGCACAAAATTTGCCATAGATTTGAAAACAACAAAAAACCCGCCATAGATTAGGAAATTACAAAACTTGCCATAGATTAGGATTGTAAAACAATCTGCCATAGATTTGGGATGGCATGACGTCCCATTTACCATAGATTAGGAATCTACCATAGATTTGGAACCCACCATAGATTTGAGTCCTACATATATAAATAACATCCACGCAAGTTTGGCTTTGGAAGTACATTTGGTACATTGACTACAAGATACACAGTAATGGCGGTCATACTGACAAGTGGGTGTAAGGCACGATGCGGCGCGCTCTAAAATCGAGATTATCTTACCACTTTCATTCAAAAGTGTATATACAAAGTCAGAAAATCGTTTGAAGAGATTTCAATTAAATTAAAGGGACATTGATTATTCAAGAATAGACCAAGGAAAATTTGATTGTTGATTATGTCAAACTAATGCAGTTTGATATGAAATGCATTGTGTTTAAAATCATTTCGTTCACTTGGCTCCATAAGATTTGTTTGGTGCGGCGTGTAAGATCTCACGACATTCCATAAAGGCCATGTAATGATCGTTCATCATCCAGTCAATCTTTTTCTTCACAAATTTCATATAAACTGCAGATATTTCCTAATATAGTCCACAAATTCTGTGTTCTATCCATTGAATTTCCCCGACATCGTTTCGATTTAATAACCTTGTATTCAATGACCTTATTGTAACTATTTTTCAACTTCGCGAAGCAGTTACATTGCACCGATTAGATAAAATTTATATTTTGAATCGTAAATATATGGAATATTTAATCGATATAACGGTAAAAGGTTGTTTCAAATGTATCGATCTGTTTGTCGGAAAAAATACATTTCGGATTTAACAAAAGCAATAGCGTGTCACACGAAATATTTGGTTGATTAAATACATTTTTACATACAAGGTCATCACAACATGACTCCTTATTGACTGTATTTAGATCCTACACACAAATAACAAAATGTAACAAAGCAAAGTGAAAGGTCTAATTCTAATCAAATTAAAATGTGATTTTATGATGACAGATTCCTAAATGGGCGATCTTACGAATATTTATCAAATTTTGGCAAGCAATTTAGGCATCCGGAAAATGCGAAACTGCATATACTTCTTTATTTCCCTTTATTGGTAAACAATTTAAAAATGTCGTCACCCATCGGATTATTTTTTCTGTAAAAGTATTTCAAGTGAATCTAAAATATCTAAAGACGTTCAAAAATTGGATTTTTATGCAAAGCGTAGTCACGACGTCATCCAAAATTTTGTCTTTTCAGCGACTTTTTTCATGATGTGCAGAAGATTCTATTGAATATATAAGCTAATATAGATAATATAAAGATATCACTTCAATGGAAATTCTAGTTGCAATAATATATTATTGTTAAGCTCACCTGGATGTAAGGGCTAGTGTGAGCTTTAACTGTCAATTTGTGTATGTCGTCATTGTCGTCCGTCGTCGTCCGTTAACTTTTACAAATATCCTCTGCAACTACCGGGCCAAATTTTACTAAACTTGGCCACAATCATCAATGGGGTATTTAGTTTTAAAAATGTGTACGATGAACCCCAACCGCCGACAAACATATCTAAAAATAGAGCATAGGGATGCAATGCAATTTTTGTCTTTTATCTAAAAAAGCGTTAAAGATAGAGATAATCTGACGAACCAAAAATTTTTAGAATGTTTAGATCTACATAATGTTTGTTGACATCAAAACTGTTAGACGACTTCTTATAGGAGTTATTGTCCTTAAATGACGAATTTTATCAATTTTGTGCTTTATTGCCAATTATCTTAAAAACTATAAAATTGGCAGAAATTTAAAATAGCAAAAATGATAACCAAGATAAGATCTACAAATAAGTCAAATGAACGTAATTGTTAATCAACTCCTTATTGAAGTTATTGTCCTGTAATGACAATTTTCCAATTTTTTTGGGGGTCATTTTGACTATTATCTTGAAAACTATAATTGATATATAGAAACTTATGATAGCAAAAATTATCAGTAAAACAAGATCTACGAATAAGTCAGCATGACCAAATTCGTTAGTCAACTCCTTATTGAGGTTAGCCTTTCATGACGATTTTTCCCATTTAGTAGCAGTTTGCCTATTATTTTATAAACTATTATAGATAGATATAAACTTTAATTGGCAAAAATGACCACCAAGACAAGATCTACAAAAAAGTCGAAATAGTCAAAATTTTCAGTCGACTCGTAATTGAAGTTATTGCCCTTAAATGATAATTTTACCATTTTTCTTCATGTTTTGCCTACTATTTGAAAACTATAATAGACAAATATAAATTTTAAAAGGTAAAAATGGTCAGCAGGATAAGATCTACAAATTCTTCAATATGCCTGAAATTGTCTGTTAATTCTAAAGAGTTATTCTCTTTTAATGATGATTTTTACTAAAATGTGGCAATGGTTGATGATACGGATGAGCGACTCAGGCTCTATAGAGCCTTTGGTTAAATAAATTCGTAAGACATGATTTCGCAGTTACTTAGTTAAACGTTCAAAAATGCAGATTTTTTGTTGTTGCGATTTTCACGTGTATTTTGTACATTTGTACACTCATCTTCCAGATATTTAATTTATTATATCTCAGAAAGTTTAAAAAATGTATACACCATTATTGACAGTCGGAGTTATTGATCACAGCGTTTCGTTAGAAAGTGAAAGTCAGTACTGTATTTTTAAAAGAGTTGCGACCGTCAATCGGGAAATTAAACTACACAAATGAAGTATGCCTGGCTAAGCTACTGTTAATTCAAAATTCGTATAACGATGTTGTGCAGTGTCTGGCTACCTACTGTTATTTCTTATTACCGGGTTATTCAAAATTGCATTTCCTGGATACCATCACAATGTATCGTTTCATGTGAAGTAAAAACTGCTTACTATTCTGGATCACCAAACGAATACCCATTGATTTTACTTTAGTTTTTGTTTATAGATTATAGGAATGAAGGGTTTTAAGTGTCATGCCGGTTGATCATGTACATTGTTTTGTACTTTTAATTCACTACAAATGAAAGCCTGTTGATGTACACAAAATTGCATTTTAAAACTGCTTAAATTGGTTTGAATTTAAATAAAGTTTGGTAAATCTTCTATATTTGAATTTGGTATTGTCTCTACATAGGTTAGTTACCTACAAAGTCATTGCAGTAAATATAAATGCATATGACAACACAACAAGTCTTTTTAGCGGATATTAACTGTGTACAACATGATTTCATTGTTTTTACATCGTCTTAATAACATCATTTGTATGATGTGTTTTATGCTTGGCGTGACATAACATATGTCAAATTTAAATATAGTACGATAAAGTGTTAAATAACAGTCAATCAATGTTGAAAGATCATAGTAAAGTGTTCAGTCGTCGCTCGGGTCTGTATCAATATGGTGTGTGGTGGATTACCGGCTGTGCTTCTATTATTTTTGCAGCGGTTTGTGTTAATCCATGGCAGCACATTGATACGCGAAGATACCCCGGGTTCCGAAATGTCAGTGATGGAATTCGGATATGATCCTCATTCAATTAAAGGTAATTTAGATTGAGATTTTTTTGCTCCGTGTTGAAGGCCTCACTGTGACTTTGAGATGAAGAACAGCAATAAAAGCGCTGTTCCTTTGCTTTTTGTGTTTTTTTGCTGTGCATGTACTGATTTTGTGTCATCGATGGATATCCCATATCCTTTGTTTTTCTATTATATACATGTACAAATAACTACGTGTACCTATATTAAAATCAAAAGGCAATAACATATCGTTTTAATATTTAAATCAATTTCTGAATTTTTAAAGATTCTGATATTTAAATGGTTATGATTAGTTGTAACTTGAATGTGCAATATAGTCCATTTTCATATTACCGACTTTGATTTTTAATATTTTATTATTTCTGTAAGAGTTATTTTCCCTAAGGTTCGACATCGTTATCCTTGAGCTATGTTTTGATAGGCTGAAAAATAAACATGAACTCTTGTTTTCATTAAGCTACTGTTTTAATACATGAAATAAGGGAATCTTTCAAAAGGTCTCGTTTTACACTGAAAACGCTGAACGACTGTAGCTAGCGTTATGTTTGACTCGATGAAGGTTATTTCATTCACGTGTGTTTCAAGTTCAAACCTTATAAACCATGGTTATGTTTTCTGTACACGACAAAATCATCGGACAAAAGTACCCCCCCCCCCCCCCTCCCCTTTTCCAAATTTACTGATTTTAAGCTTACTTTTACTTATCTCAGTTGTTCTCACATAACAGAGTACAGAATATCGTATCCCAGAGTAGGAAATATGTTGAAAATTAAATACTCCGGATTCAAACGTCGTTGATATGAAAAATGTCCATTGTACTTAACGACAAGGAGACTAGATTCGATTAGGCCCAAATAGGGCCCAATATTTCTAGATAACATTCCAATTTAAGATTTATTGACCATTATCATGATAAATCATAGCTTAAACAATGACAAGATTGGAAATAGGTCTGCTTGTTGAAAATCCACAAATCAGCGTTCATTTTTATGACGTCACAAATATCACAACCTTTGATTTTTACTAAAGTGTAATAAAAAAAGTTAAATTTCCCTAGGTTTTTAGGACCTGAAACATACAGCGCAAAAGTCGACAAAAAAAAATCGACATTGTGTTTGTTATATTAAATTACGTATCTGACTTGAATTTTTAAATGTGTCGAACCCTGTGCTCTTTGTTTTCTGGACCGAAATGTGGTTTAAACCCAGACGATTTTGTTAACTTTCACAAAAATCTCTAATATTGGTCTATCCGGTATGTAAATGTCAACACTTTATAAGAAAAGCTCGACAACAGTAATTATATTTCAAATTCTTTCATGTCTAATAATAAACTTGTAACATTTTTATTATGATAAATTGATTTAATATTCGGGTCCAAAATGGCCCTTACCGAACATTCTCATTTAGAATTTTCCGTTATTACTTCCGTCACATACGTGTGAATGTGAATGTGCCTTCAAGGTCCCAGTTATTCTACGATACTTAATAACAATATATCGACATTAATTTGATACTACTTGCGAAATTTCCTGAAAGTGGTGTGTAACACGATGCGTTTTTTTTTTTAAATTCGAGACAACCAAAACTGACGAGCGAAAACAATAACACCAAATCCAGCAAAAAAAAAAAACAAAAAAAAAAAACACTTTTACATTGAGAGGATAACTTAAAAAATTTTATTTTTGAAATTATAAATCCCCCACCTTAGCAGCAATATACCAACTTCACCTTCAGATGAAATATACATTTACCAACTTATTCGGTATTCAGCTGCTACTCAAACTTTATAAAACGTCACCAGTGTCTGAGCAGAAAGTTGATAAACCAGGGTTATGTCAAAGAACGTCTAGTCCTTTTTCTAAAAAAGTTCATCGAAAGATACCAAGACGTTGTTGATAAATATTCCGTATCAACTTCACAAATTATAAATGATGGTCTTGAAGTGTATATTCTAGATACTGATGTTGTTCGTCACATTAATTACGTGTTAGTGTGTTCTTTTTATTTGTCTTTGTATATGTTTAACATTTACTGTTTAGTCCATTTTTGGTAATATACTTTTGTCGTGGCTCGGTAGTTATACATCCCGCCATTGTGTTATTGTGCTACGGTCACTTTTGTATTCTTGTCTTTCATGTTTGCTTATGTACTTATAGTGTCTATTTGCCATTTTGTTTTTCTTTGTATAGTATTTGTTTTTATAGTGTTTAGGATAATAACACAATGTTGATTGCTGTACCCCAATTTTTGTCATTTTTTGTTATTTTACTTTTTATTTTACAAATTTTACGAAATTTAAATCAACAGTATGTTGTTATTTACAGTTACCTGTGAAAAAAGAAAATTTACTCACCTTAAATTTTAGATGCAGAAAATTCTCAAGTAATTCATATTTTTCGAAATTAAGTATGACATTCGCTGTTGCGTAATTTCTGATAACTTACACGAATGATATCGGATGGGGTTCAGACTACACGTCTTGGACCAATATAATGGATACCATTCATTTTAGAAGTCAAATACGAAGCCTCAATATATAAAGGGACAAAATAGTACAATGTTAATTTTGTCAAAGAGAATTGCAACCTTAGTTTCTTCTTCTTTCGGATAAAGAACAGGAGTCGTAGCCGACTGTTTAAAATTCTATTGTGCTACTCATGTCAGGCGCACACAAATGTAGTCCCCTAGTCTATCTACATCTAAAAATTCTGTTACTTATACAATTAAAACTATATACATGGGGTCCCTGTCAAGTAACTGGTTGGTCTAACTCCGAGGTTAGCCATAAACTCCTCTATGGTGGCTGCAGCAACTGTGTTGGCTTGTAGGAGATTCCAGTCTCGGACTGTTCTTAGGAGTTTCTGTATGCCTCGTTGTTTGATCTTTCTTAGATGAAAAGATGTTGGTCTCTTGTTCTGCTGTCATTTTGCTTTAGGTATATGTTACTATTGATTGCTATAAGCTGGTGTTGGATTTTGTATAGCATACCCAGTCTACTATTGACTCTTGTCTGTTCTAAACTTTGCCAACCTAATGTTATTAACATGTTGGTCACGCATCCAGGTGTTCTGTCCTTATAGGTGCAGGTGACAAAGCGTGCTGCTCTTCTTTGCACATTTTAAGGTAATTGATTTTGCTTTGGCTTGTCGGGTCCCTCACGGTGGCTGTATATTCAATAGTAGGTCTCACTATTGTTGTGTAGCTTGTCTCTTTAAAGGTTTTGGTACAGTCTTCTAATAAAACCAAGTGTTCTGTTTCCTTTGGTAGCTATGGTGTCGATGTATATGTCCCAGAAAAGATTACTGGCTATTGTGGCTCCCAGGTACTTACTCGAGTCAACTATTTCCAATGTACGGCTATGAAACAGGTAGTTCGGGGGTATTACTGACTTGGTCTTACTATGTGGTATTCTTATAACTGTGCATTTACTTGGATTAAAATTCATTTGCCATCTACTTTCACATTCCTCATGTGCGCTTAGATCTATCTGCAGTAATTGATTATTTTATACTTCATTAATTGCAAGCAACAAGCTGATATCGTATCTCTGAGTTTTGATAGTCTCTGGCTTACCGTTTATGTAGGCTAGGAACAAGAGGGGCCTTGCACGGATCCCTGTGGTACTCCTGACAAGACTTGAGTTGTATTGATTTGCTCCTTCTAACACTGCTTGCTGATTTTTGTTGATCCATCTTACGGTGTTGTGGTTCACTCCATAGCATGTTAGCTTGTGCAGTAGTGTGGCATGTGGGACCTTGTAGGATTATATCGACTTGTGATCCTTTAGCAAGACGTATTACTAATTTTTGGACTCTTTTAAGTTTCAGTGGATCGTAGCCTTCATAATTAAAACCAAGTAATTTAAATAATAACAGTTACAAAGTACTAGCTTTAAAACGTGAATATAAAAATGTGTCGTATTGAATTTTCTGCTGTGTCTGATGATTTTTCGCTCCTTGTACTGCTCCCTTGACCACAACCTATTAGGTGACAGGTGTTCTAAATAAAATCTAAATATGAGTGTTAAAAACATAACATTCTGTTATCGAAGTAAATTACCTAATCATAAATATTCAAGTTGAATGTCATGTTTTCTTTCATCTTTATTAAAAATAAATATTCAAAAATATTGTAATTTACAAAGGAGAAATTATAGAAATAAAACCAAAAAAATTGAATTTCAAAATCCGTTTACTCAAATTGTGAATTTTTTTTACAATTTTCACTTTTTGTTTGGTCTGTTAATTTTATATTTCTTTTTAATACAAATGCATTTGACAAAGGCTTCTAATTAACAAGATCGTTTAGCAAAGAATCATAATGCAATCATTTAAAACATGTTTTGTGTAAAAATCTGTTTAACACTGATTCCGTCGATGTATGTCATTTCTTTTTTTTAAAGTTAATTTCATGATATTAAGGGATGTTTCTTTCAAATCATATAAGGTTAATACTTATGCAAAATGGTTAAGAACCTTTTTTATTTTGTTTGTTCTACGCTACGAAATTGATTGCAGTGTTCTGCTGCTGCTCATTATATCTTGCCTGTACTACTTGATTGGTTGATAATTCAAATTAGGAAAATGGAGAAAATGTCGGCATGGCATCAAACACTTTCGTCCTCTGTCAAAGAGTGACAAAGTCAACAGTAGTGTCATGCTTGGACTTAAACATGTGCTCAGTAATGTAGTAAAAACCATTTAGTCATTTTATGGATCAAATGCCTTTGATATACTTATTCGATATCTTAAATGAATCCGAAGGTCATCTAGGGCAGTATATATTAGTTGTGTGAATCATAATATCTATTTTTTTATAGTAAGAAGTCGTCATTTTTTGCTCCTATTATCGTTGAAACATACATATATTGATTACTAAATAGCTTTTACATGTGTTCTTTAAACTACAGATGTTTTAATGTTCAATACCAAAGTGACAATACAACTTTGTATTTGAAGTTTCTTTAAATTATAGTAGTTAAATCGTATGTTATTACACGGAACAACGCCCTTAATTTAACCTAATTTTTCGTTTAAATTGAAAATTGAAAAGACTTAAAGATGGGTTAATAGCTTTTTTAATATTCTATAATAGCCATTCATTTTCTTTTTTAATACAATGGACAAACAAATATTCATATAGAAAAAAAGCAGATTTAATCGGATTCCCTTGTCAAATGGCTTCGGTTAAAGCTAAACATGGTTATCTGCAATAATTCAGTTTGTTTAAGTGTATTTTTAGTTGGTTTCAGATTAACATCTTTTTATTATAATTATTAGTCAAAATCAACAAAAGTTCAAACAAAAACTTCTAAAAAAATGCGGAGGTTTTTATAGCGTTCGTTTAATTAATAACAAAAGTGAACAATACTTATTAAGTCAGGAATATGGCAGTTGTTATCAAATAGTTCGTTTCTATGTATGTTGCCATTTGTTTTTGTTGCAATTCAGTGTTTCTGTTGTTCCTTTGTTTTCCTCTTATATTTGATGTGTTTCCTTCGGTTTTAGTTTGTAACCCGGATTTGTTTTCTCTCAATCGATTTATGACTTTTGAACAGCGGTATACTACTGTTGCTTTTATTTATCAACGACTGGTAATGTTCAGGTTGTATTTATATAAAAACAAAAGTCAATGTATATTAAAGTAGGTTTATATGGTCTTTTATACTTATTACATTTATTGAATCATGAGTTAAACAGCATTCTGTTTTTTGCATTTGTTTTTTTTTTATATATGTGTGTGTTGTTTTTTTTTTAATTATTATTATTATTATTATTATTATTATTTAATAGTAGTAGTAGTAGTAGAAGTAACTTTTATTCTGATTAAATTCATAAAGCATCCCCAAGATTAATTGTATGAAATATGATCACTTTTACTAAATGTTTTGGTCTAACTGTTAGGAGTCTTTGGTATCCCTATGGTTAATAAGGACGAACTTGTTATGTTACATTTTCGTTGTATTTTATTCAAATTTGTATGGATATTGTTTGTATTATAGTAAACAAACAATACATATTATCTGTTTGCCAAAAAAGCATCCCGTATTAAAATTATAAGAAGAAGAAGAGATTGTTTTTTTTTCGTACACTTGATATTCGTTTATTGAGATTTGTCGCCCTTTTACATATTTAGGTGAAAGTAACACCTCTTGAAAAAATGTATTGAAAGTAAAAGCGGATAATATGGCAGTTGTGCAATAATAGACGATGGTGACAGAGAAGTGAGAGGCTATATGATCTAATCTGAAATTTTGAGGACAAAGAAATCTTCCAACAAAAAAATCAAGTACAGCAATGTGATCGACTGCCATGTTGCTACATGTTTATTAGCATCACGTACTAAGAATTCCCACAACTCATCTATAAAGTAAAATTAACTTGAAAATATCAACATCAAATAATTTGAGACATGACTAAAGAGTGAGGCCTCCTTTTCGTTCCCTCTGTCCCTCTCTTGTGTAAAATGATATATTTAGACGTATAAACAACTGCATTTTAATAGAGAAACGATATGTTAATAGTGGATAGAGACAGAAAGTGAATTGTTTATTCTAAAAACTTCTTCAAAAACAAGCATTATCAGTAAAAAAATCATTTTTATATTTGTTTAAATTCCTTTCAATGAAGCATCGCTTGAAAAGGTAGATATGTTTGAAACAGAAATGCCATGTATGCTTATGTTCATTGATCTCCTGTAAGTTTTTCTTTATCAAAACGATAATCAAAGAAATTGTGCCTCGTATTTCGCATGAAACTGAAATGCATGATTTCGGTGCCTGTTCATAGTTAAATATCATCCATATAGTGTATGACCTCTAGGTGTGTACAAATCATTACTGATAAAAACCAATATATATATAAATACAAATACAGGTATTTAAATTAAGTCATTTTCCATCATACCCATATAGTTGTTTTCGTGCAGAAATTTAGATTTGTCTTTAATCAGTGATTTCTTTATCCTTTTTTGAAAGTATGAATGATACAAATATTTTGAAAAAATAGCAAGAAACTGCAGATATATCTGTATTTAAAGGTAAACATTTCATTCAAATCGGACAAGAAATGTATAAGGAGATTTTTTATGCCCCACCTAGGGGCATTATGTTTTTGGGTCTGTGCGTGCGTCCGTCCGTCCGTCCGTCTGTCCGCTTCAGGTTAAAGTTTTTGGTCAAGGTAGTTTTTGATGAAGTTGAAGTCCAATCAACTTGAAACTTAGTACACATGTTCCCTATGATATGATCTTTCCAATTTAGAGTTTTGATCCCAATTTCACGGTCCACTGAACATAGAAAATGATAGTGCGAGTGGGGCATCCGTGTACTATGGACATATTCTTGATTTTCAATGTGTTTTTATATGAAATTTATAGCGGATTTTTTAAGTGATGAAACTCTTTTGATTTCTATCTTTATCTTGGTGAACGTATGTCATTGAGTAACTATCTCTTTGATGTCTACCTCATATTCTATTGTTTCCTGTGCAAAGGAGAGACTAAAATCAATGAATCATAATAAGATTGACCATTTCGGATCCTTTCTGAGGGCGCTGGGATTTATTTACTACATGCAATTGGATGCATCAGTATGCCAGATAGCGTTATGTTATCTATTATTTAAATCGGCCGAATCAGGAATCAAGGCAGTACGTATTGACAGTATATTAGCGAAAAAACATACATACATCTCTTCGCTATTCGCATTAGAGGCGAGAGTCGGGCAACAATGAAAAATAAGTTTTTAAAGTGGATGATTTTTACACATGTGATTGATTTCAAACAATTTCGTTACATACTTGTAACCTGACACATTTTGAAATAATACTACTATTTCCTCAACAACAATGACTGTAAAAACTTCATACTTTATCATCGAACGTGTGTTTTATTAGAGGAATCACGTCGTTCTCTAATATTTAATAATTGTTGAAATGTCAATGACCACGGTTATGATAAATGACTTCTTCTTGTTAACAACTCTAGAGTATTAAACTGTTTTATGTTGTGTGTCAAGTTGATGAATAGGATATTTTACTGGTGGAAATTTCAACCTTTTCTGAGAGGGTCAAACATCAAACGCCCGCTCTTTGCTACAGCAAGGGTCAAATAAGCTTAAACTTGTTTTCGTCATTCGTCAAATAGCATTTTTCAGCTGCCGTTAGCGTCAAAATAAAGTAAAACAAGTGTCGTAAATGTTATGAATCGCAAAATTTTGTCGTTACTCGTCATATGGGGTATCTCATTTCAAGCATCATTTATGCCGATTCCTTTAATTTTAAAACGGATAAATCATTTGACATTATTTGAACAAAAATTGTATATTTGCTTACTGAATCAAACTATAGAATTATAATTTTCATTATATTTTCAGGTCCAGGGTATTGGAACATGAAATGGCCTTCTTGCGGATTTTCAAGACAATCTCCAATCGATATAAATACAACGTATGTTACCTATGGGAGACCTTATGAAATCCGTTATAATCAGGAAAACCAAGACCTTCCTGGAAACCTCATTAATAACGGTAAGTATTATCAGTATGTTTCCTAAGGAAGACCTTGTGCAATCCGTCATAATTAGTAAATTCAAAATTTCCATGGAATCTCATTGATAATGGTACGTAATATCAGTATATTACTTGTTGAGGCATTGTGTAATCCGTTAACATAAGAAAAACTTATTTATTATTTATTATGATACGTAATATCAGTATGTAACCTTATGTTATCCGTTATAATCAGGAAAACCAAGGTCTTTCTTGCAATCTCATTAATAAAAGAACGTTATATTAGACTGTGATATATGGAAGACCTTGTGAAATCCGTTATAATAAGAAAAATAAAGATCCTACTGAAAATCTCATCAATAATGGCATGTTATATTATTATGTTTACTATTGAAACCTTATGTAATCCGTTATAATCAGGAAAACCAAGATCTTTCTAAAGATCTGCTGGTACGTAATATCACATGTGAACCATATTATCATTTGCAATACTTTTATCCAATAAGACAGACCTTATGAAATCCATCATAATCAGTAAAGGAAAGATCTTCCTGGAGATCTCATTAATAGTGCTATTTAATATCAGTATGCTACCTTTGGAGACATTGTGTTATCCGTTATAATCAGGACAACCACGATCTTCCTGGAGATCTCAATAATGATGGTACGTAATATCAGTATGCTACCTTTGGAGACATTATGTAATCCGTTATGATCAGGACAACCACGATCTTCCTTGAGATCGTATTAATAATGGTACGTAATATCAGTATGCTACCTTTGGAGACATTATGTAATCCTTTATAATCAGGACAACCACGATCTTCCTTGAGATCTCATTAATAATGGTACGTAATATCAGTATGCTACCTTTGGAGACATTGTGTTATCCGTTATAATCAGGACAACCACGATCTTCCTGGAGATCTCATTAATGATGGTACGTAATATCAGTATGCTACCTTTGGAGACATTATGTAATCCGTTATAATCAGGACAACCACAATCTCCCTTGAGATCTCATTAATAATGGTACGTAATATCAGTATGCTACCTTTGGAGACATTATGTAATCCTTTATAATCAGGACAACCACGATCTTCCTTGAGATCTCATTAATAATGGTACGTAATATCAGTATGCTACCTTTGGAGACATTATTTAATCCTTTATAATCAGGACAACCACGATCTTCCTTGAGATCTCATTAATAATGGTACGTAATATCAGTATGCTACCTTTGGAGACATTGTGTTATCCGTTATAATCAGGACAACCACGATCTTCCTTGAGATCTCATTAATAATGGTACGTAATATCAGTATGCTACCTTTGGAGACATTATGTAATCCGTTACAATCAGGACAACCACAATCTCCCTTGAGATCTCATTAATAATGGTACGTAATATCAGTATATTACTTATGGGACCCCTTTATGTAATTTGTTTTAATCATTAAACCAATATCTTCTTGGAGATCTTTTGGTATGTAATATCACATGTGAACCATATTACTATTTGCAATACTCTTACCATGGGCAGACCTAACGCATTTCAAAAGGGAATGTAAAAAGGATGAAGTGGTTATGATTCAGGAATGGGTCGGGGATCCAGTTTATACTGTTTATAAGTGACACTGATAAGTCAGTTGTAGACGTAACGCGCATCTGTTGTATAAAGACATAAGCCTGTTTTGTTTTTAGTTTTTACTACCAGTGGGTAAATGCCACTACTGGGGGACGTTTCGTTCCGGAGGTTATCACCAGTCCAGTAGTAAGCACTTAAGTGTTGACATGAAATATCATCGATATTTTTATTTTATGAAAATGTACTCTGTATAAAATGTTGAATCATTCAAAAAACAAAGGTTTGTTCTACCCCAGGTATAGATTACCGAAGCCTTGTGTTACAAAACGGTTTGGAATGTCTGGTTTATTATACTCTTCAACGTTGTATTTGATTTGGCCTTCCAACTGTTTTGATTTGCGCGTCACTGATCAGTCTTATGTAGACGAAATGTGCATACAAAATTATAAGCCTGCTATCTTTGATGAGTTCTTACTACAATTGTAAGTTCCCTACATAAATCTTTAAACCGATTCCCTTAAATTTTGTGAAAAATTTATATATCATATATCATTTATAATTGCCTGAGGAATCTAATGATTTTTCTCTGAGGATTCGAAACTACTGGCAACTTTTTATAGAGATAAAAAAAAACATGACGTATTCATATTTATCATTTCATGGTTCCGGTGGTGAATATTTCAAATGTACTCGCTGTCGTCCTACAGTTTTATCAAATTCACGACACACTATACAATATAATTCTATCAAAATTCAACAAAATTTAAAAATCCTAATGATTATTTACTACCGGAAAAAATTGCTATGCGAAAAGTGTTCTACCAACAATTGTAAAGTCTGAGCATATACCACATCACAGGAAACAAGGAGAATAACAGACTAAACTCTCCTGATTGTTTCTTTAACTTTTTTGTTTCTATTGTGGTAGCAGTTTTTTTATTAAAGAAATAAACTCATCATAGATACCAGGATTTAAAAGAGAGTCAGTAAAACATTCGCATTTCTTATCAAACGTATTTAGAAAGAATTATTGTTTTCAAATTCTTGAATCAAAACAATTTGCTTTATGAACAAGTAAAATATAGTTTCGACACAATCATTCAATAAATCTTCAAGACGTTTTGCAAATCAAGATTAAATATAAAAGTGGCTAGAGGTTTTAGATAAAATACGTGTTTTTGATGGTCCTGTTAATTCTGTTGACAGTTATGATTTTTCTACTTTCTACACTATACTTCCACACAATCTTATCAAGAAAAAGTTTTCATATTTAACTAGATGGTCTTTTGAAAAGTCTCATTGCAAATTTATTTGCTGTAACTCGTTTAAATATAAAAAAGAAGATGTGGTATGATTGCCAATGAGACAACTCTCCACAAGAGACCAAATGACACAGAAATTAACAACTATAGGTCACCGTACGGCCTTCAACAATGAGCAAAGCCCATACCGCACAGTCAGCTATAAAAGGCCCCGAAATGACAATGTAAAACAATTCAAACGAGAAAACTAACGGCCTAATTTATGTACAAAAAATGAACGAAAAACAAATATGTAACACATAAACAAACGACAACCACTGAATTACAGGCTCCTGACTTGGGACAGGCACATACATACAGAATGTATGTAAAAGCCTTTTTCTGTAACGAAAAAGGAAAGTATGCTAGATACACTTACTGGAAATGTGAAGATATGATTGAAGCTTTAAATTTTCTCCTGGATAACATATATGTACGTTTCGGCGATAAAATGTATCGACAGGTAGTAGGTTATCCTATGGGCACTAACTGCGCGCCTTTAATAGCAGATTTATTCCTGTATTGCTATGAATCTCAGTTTATGACCAAACTCAGTAAAGACACGTCATTGTTACATTTGGTTGATACATTCAAAAATACCTACCGTTATCTTGATGATATTTTTTCGTTAAATAATCCTACCGATATACTACCGATATTTACCCAAAGGAACTTACTTTAAATAAATCGAACATAAACAGCAGTAGTTGTTCTTTTCTAGATTTAGACGTTTTTAAAGGGAAACTCCATACTAAAATTTACGACAAAAGAGACGATTTTTCATTCCCTATTGTTAATTTTCCCTTTTCAGACGGCGCTGTTCCTTTGGCTCCATCATTCGGTGTTTATATATCCCAACTCGATCGTTATTCCCATTTGTAGTGATGTCATAGATTTTAACGAACGTAATCAATGCATCACTGGTAAATTATTAAGTCAGGGATTTCGTTACCATAAATTGCTTAAAACTTTTACAAAACTCATTCATAGATACAAAGATTTGATTAGTAAATTTGGCTGTACCTGTAGAAAACTTATTAAAAACGGTATTTCACATCCTAAATTTTACGGTAATTTTGTACTAAAAGCGCGGAAATCACTATGTGATCCGTGTAAACTCATCGAACCTTAAAACATACTTATTAGTAAAGGTTATCTTACTAATGTTGTAATTAGATCTTTGAATTTAGTTTGCATTGGCACAAATATCGATTTTGTCATCAGCAATTTAAAATATAACAAAATTTGTATTCTTTTCAAACGGTTTTTTGGGATGTATAAATACACATCCACGTTCATTTTCTATATAGAGATTACTCTATCTATATATAACATTATACATATTTATTAACAGGTTAACTCCTAACTATCCTACTGCCTGTCGATACTTTTATTTTGGCATTGCACAAGTCATGTCTTCTTTGACTGTCCATGACGTTAAAACACTAAATCCCTAGGATGTGTTTTAGTTGATTTTAGTCTCTGATGCATGATTTTTTATAAGGAACAACAAAATTATTTATTTTGTAAAAATTATTTCCGTACTCCATGTATACCTTACAACAAAATTATTTTTTATTTACCCGTGTACGTTATTTTATTTGGAGGCATTTTGTCCAAGGTTATGGTTGTCTTTTGGATATTGTTTCAATCTAAACCCCTTGTTTTATTATTTTTGTATTTACATTGTGTCATAGATCAAATTTATTCGTTCAGTGTATGTTCACTTGTTTTTGTTGATATGTCTTTTGATTGAGTTAAGCCATTTCAATTGAAATTTATAGTGTGTCTTTCTATGTTGCGATGTTACACTATTGTTTCAGGTAGGGTGAAGGTTTGCGCTTATTAATATGTTTAATCCCGCTGCATTTCTTTGCAGCTGTCCTAAGTCAGGAACCTGATGTTCAGTGGTTGTCGTTTGTTGATGTGGTTCATAAGTGTTTCTCGTTTTTTATATAGATTAGACCGTTGGTTTTCCTGTTTGAATGGTTTTACCCTAGTCATTTTAGGGCCCTTTATAGCTTGCTGTTCGGTGTGAGCCAAGGCTCCGTGCTGAAGGCCGTACTTTGACATATAATGGTTTACTTTTACAAATTGTGACTTGGATTGAGAATTGTCTCATTGGCACTCATACCACATCTTCTTATATCTATATATTCACTTATAAAAAAGAAACCTTCTTAAACGAATTAGATTTAAAGTACACGAAATATGATGTTCCCGTTTGTCGCTGTTTGTATGTGTGTGTGTGTGGTTTTTGTTTTTGTTTGTTATAAATAAAAATAAAATTTTCAAATTTACCTCGGAAATAAATCGCCACCTATAGCTAACCTTGTGCACTTTTGTTTCCTCCAAAAATAAATTAGGCCGATTTAAATTTATACGCCTTTACTAATGAAAAGATGAAAATTTACAGCATTTGTTTATTTTTATCAAAAACGTGTTGTTGTTGCGTTTCGTTTTGTGTTATTTTTGTTTTATGCTAGTTTTGTTTTTGATTTGATTTGTTTTGTTTTGTATTTATTTACTTTGCTATTTAACTGAAGCGGGAGTCCACCTTTATACCCACCTTATCCGACACAGTGGTTTTATTAAGCAGATATACTATCAAATTGCAGACCTTTTACTAGGAACGTGAAAATATTTTGCTTGCAAATAAATCAATTATCTAAGCTTATTGACTTGGAACAGTCTTTTGGTCAAAACCGCAAATATTTCCATATCTAATGATGATTGCGCCTTTTAAAAAGAGAGGCGAAAGATTCCAAAGGGTCATTCAAACTCATAAGTCGAAAATAAACTGATAACGCCATGGCTAAAACAGAAAAGGACTAACAGACAAACAACAGTACACATAACACAACATAGAAAACTAAAGACTGAGCAACACAAACCCCACCAAAAACTGTTTTCAGAATGTTTTCACTTTAGCGTCCAAAATTCCAAAAATGTAACGGACGTGTTAGAAAACACAATTTCAAAATATATTAAAATACAATTTTATGCAGAGATCGTAAGGCATGTGATTAATTATGAGTAGTATAAATTAAAATAACAAAAAATACCGAACTCCAAGGAAAATTCAAAACGGAAAGTCCCTTATCAAATGGCAAAATCAAAAGCTCAAATACATCAAACGAATGGGAAATAACTGTTATATTCCTGACTTTGTACAGGCATTTCGTTATGTAGAAAATGGTGGATTGAACCTGGTTTTATAACTAGCTAAACCTACCACTTGTATGATAGTCGTATAAAATTCCATTATATTGACAACAATGTGTGAACAAAACAAACAGACATGATAGGTAAAAATGTCAAAAATAGGGGTGCAGCAGTCAACATGTATGTACTAGTAGTATTATTCATTATAACTGGTGACTTGTCAAAACAGCTATCTTGCAAAAGACTAAATTAAGTACGGGGTGAACATTTTGTTTTGAGAATTAATAAATGTTACAAAAATCAATTGGGTTTTTGTGTTACAGTTGTTGAAAAACAAAAGATGGGCTTATTTTTTACATTCTTTTTACTGATCGGTGAGATAGCGAAATTCTACTGTCGACCGAAGCTACATCCCGTATTCCAGTTCGATTCATGATTTTCAATTTCAGCATCATCTAATTTATTATCCATATAATAATCTAACAGTTTTCACAAATTTCGGCGTTCGCTAGAAATATACAGTTTAAAAGCTTATTTAGTTACAGCTTTTTTTTTAATTGGTTGCTTATTTGTTATTAACTATGATCATAATGTTTAATTGTATTCTGCCTAGTATTGGATTTTCAAATGTATTCCAATAGAACTTTTTTGCTTGATTGCGTGGCTTATGTTTCTTACAGGTCATACAACAGCATTTTACTTTGAGGAGAAAGCGAGATACTTATATGGAGTACCTGGATCACCGAAAGACAAATTCCTCCTGAACGAACTACACTTCCACTTTGGAAATGACAGAATACACGGTTCTGAACACTCCATAAATGGACAATTTTTCCCTATTGAGGTATGCACGGAGTTATATACAACGTTATAGTCAGAAATTAGGTGTTACCTTTACATTCTAAAACAATTATGAGTCAGATGTTACTTTCAATCACTAGTGTTTGCATAGTTAATTCAAATATATCTATGAATATAATTTTTTGTTAATGACATATGAATGTCAATACCCATTACCAAACACCATATAAGTTTAATCAGATAGAAATATAGGCTAGAGGTCACCAAACTCAACAATGGGCAAGCAATCGAGCTTTATGTCAAGATCTAATTTTCCCGGAGTTTAAAAGGTTTGAAGGACAACCGCAGGCTTGAGGTCACTATACGATTGTCAACGATGGACAAACGTCCGTGCTGTATGTCCGGATCTTATTCTCCTGGCATTAAGAAGTGTTACAGGACAACCACATGCTAGAGATAAGCATACGGTTGTCAACGATGTACAAACGTCCGTGCTTTATGTCAATATAATTCTCCCCGAGTTGAAAAGAGTTGTAGAACAACCACAAATATATCACACCACAACGAAAGAAGTAGGGCTAATGTGAAAATAACGAGAATTGGTATGATTGCCAATGAGACAACTCCATCAAAATGTAAATGAAGTGGATGTAAGCAATTAGAATAACTCATACAGTGAAGTCGGCTATAAAAGGCCCCGACATGAAAAATATGAAACAATTCAATTGAGAATAACTACTGGCCTAATGTATAGCACAACAATTTACGAAAAACAAATATGACAGACATTAACCAACGACAATCACTGAACTACAAGCTCCTGTATAAGTTCCTTTATAGCTTTTTCACAGAAGAATTTTTAGTATCGTTTTTTACTTAATTCAATTCACTTTACCACAGGTTGGTGTATTTACAACTTAATAACAATTTACTGAACTCTACATAAATAAATACAAAAAGATGTCGAATATAACAATTGTGTTAGAATTTTCCATACTGAAATATTCATCTCCATAACAAATATGATAAGCATTCCGAACCAAATCAAAATGCATCTATGTACATTAATACTATACCAGACAAAATTAATCATTTGAATGAAACAAATACATAGCAAGTGGCTATAGCACTTTGTTATAGACGAGACAGAGAAACCCCATGAACAGAGATTGACTACAAATGCAGTGCTATCAGTACATCTATGTTATTAATATTTCGATCATTTATTTACAAAATATCTATTTCCAAATAACCTGTTCATAATCCAACTTTTCTATATAGTGTCAGTGTCACAAAATATCAAAACAGAAATGAGTTGAACACTTTTATACAAAGCAACAAAACATTTATAAAAATATATTCGAAAAAAATGACCTGGAATATTTGGAAGCCGGAAAACTATAAAGAGGAGAAAAATTCAAAATATAACTAAGCATACTAGTATTAGATAACCAAACTTTAAAGTCGTATAAAATCCAAAACTAACATGGCATATCAGAGTAACAATACTTTGTACCCAAGAATGTATAAAGGATACAAATTCCAATATTAAGTTGGTACACTAGAATAACCGAACTGAACAGAAATAACAAATTATCACACAAACTCGGTATACTTTAATGCCAGAAATACAAACAGTATACTAACACACTTAAAGGTAAAAACTAATTCCCGATACCATTTTTTTCACACTCGACAAACAGATATATACAGAAAATAATACCATATCTATTGCAGGTGCATATGGTCCACTACAATTCTAAATATAGACAGCCTAGAATAGCTTCCATGATGCCAGATGGGATTATAGCTGTTTCTGTCTTTCTTCGGGTATGTGTATTGATATTTTGAAAGAGTTATAGCATTAAAATGTGATGGATTTAAAGAAAAATAAAAACGTTAAAAATATACATTTTACTAAATCTTACAAATAGGTTTATCTAGATTATTTTATAAGTTATGAATATTTTACACATTTGACAACTTTTTAATCAATTATATAAACCTTTCATAGTACTGTCACCTATTCATTTAATCATACACTTATATATCACTCACTCTCTTTTTTGTTATTGGATATTAAAAACTGGACTGTTATTGTAATTAATGTGTTAGTAATAAACTGACCTTAAATAAGAATATGCTGGTCCTAGACAATTTCTAATACCTAACATATAACAATTTCCAATAAGTACAGATTGGCTACCACTAAAGACAAAAACTTCTAGCCAACTGACAAAAACAAAGAAAAGTTAAACAAAAGATTCCCGCCTAAATTAAATTGACCAATAGAAAACATATTTATCAATAGGTAATGAATGTTCTGCCTGAATAAACTAGCAGACTACAAAATATAATAACTGTAAATAAAGTATATTCTAATAACATAAAACCTTGATTAATGTAAAACATAAAAATATAGCTCTACCACAAAAACACGAACATGCATAAGATATAGCTCTATCACAAAAACACAGATATAGCTCGACCACATAAACACGAGTACATATTATGTGTATAAGCAGAAAACTTTTGATTAAAATTGCATCGGAAATTACAGCAAGATTACTTATACCTGTACCAAGTCAGGAATATGGCAATTGTTATCAAATTGTTCGTTTCTATGTATGTTGGCGTTTGTTTTTGTTGCACTTTAGAGTTCCTGTTCTTCCTTTGTTTTCCTCTTATAGTTGATGTGTTTCCCTCGATTTTAGTTTGTAACCCAGATTTGTTTTCTCTCAATCGATTTATTACTTTAGAACAGCGGTATACTACTGTTGCCTTTATTTATAATATGCGCAGTTGTTAATTTCACAAGTTTTTAATATAAAACAACCTTTTTTGAGTAATGTGTTTATATCTAGTGAAACCATTTTTCCATGTTCAAACACACATCACTTACTTGCAAATGTATGTATAACTTAAACAGAGGGCAATCTTACTGGATATATTAGGTACCTTTTCTTTATTTTTTTAGATACGATCTGGACCTCCAAACCATGTTGATACATTCATAAAGACCAACATACCTCGTGTCAAAGATCCAAAAGGTATGAACTCTGCAAAGACATTTATCACATATCATTTGGTTTATAATTTAGTATGTGTAAATTATTAATTGCTAGTTATTATACTACTTACCCTGACGGCTTTTACCTAATTTTAGATGATGATGGTGATTTGTTGGTTTTCAATACTGTTTATTTAGCTTTAGATCAACGCGATTTCAGTTGTTGGAAATCATTGCTATATTAAATACTATTCCCATGTGGGTCTTTTACCCGATTTACCGAGTAAAGATGTGAATAGTTCATTGATAAACAAAAGTCATCAAATGTTTAACGCAGTCTTCAGCAATAGATAGATATCTACACAATTTGTCGAACACAAAATCGTTCCGAGAAAAAATAAGTTGTAAATAAATAATATCAGATTATTACATGGCATTTTTCATATCAGATGTATTCAATATTAGCTCAAGAGCCGAAGTCTTGAGGGCTGATATTGACCGAGGGCTGATAATACATCTGATATGAAAAATGACATGTTATGATCTTTTTATCATATGCTTCAACAATGGAGAAAAATAACAGTTTAATATATTGATCCTTTTGAGTGGTTCTCAAGTAGAAGTTCAAAAAGTGAAAAGTTTACGGCGCGGACGACGGACGCAAAATGTAATACATCCGATATGAATTCTTCTATCATATGCCTCAACAGAGGTGGAAAACAACAGTATAATATATTTTTATATTCACAATATAAAAAATCAACATAACAAAATGAACACTGTTTGGAAAAGTCAACATTTGTAAAGTAACTTGCTAAATTATGCTGGAAACTTTGAAAAATGCATTTATTGTATCATTTGTTTTGCATTTTACATAATATATTTTCCTGTTTCCTAATATTTGTTTTGACCCCTACTTTGTTATGTTTTTCACTGAAAACGTACCATTGAGATGAATTTTCCGGAATTTACCGAGTAATGCCGGAATGCCATGCGATAACATTACGGAAAGGCATGCGATAGCCGGAAACAGTTGATAAATTTTTCATATCAGTCCGCTAAGCATCATTTCGGAAAATATGGAATTCACGTAAATTTAATGCTATTATCATACTGTAAAAATTATAAGTTATTTACTCTAAGTATATGATAACAATAATTATCAAAGGAAGGCCTTGTTCTAAATTATTCGTCTTGCTAGAATTTTAACCAATATTACATATATTCAAGTTCTATTTTGGAATATCATTTACATTTTTCGAGCTTTATTCGTCATGATTACCTTTTGGTCTTCATTTCAAGTTTTGTAATATAAAAGCTTTGACCTTGCTGAAGTTTTTCTTGATATTTATTTACGTGTTGATTGTTCATTGCTAGTTTTTTTTTTACATTTTATAGCTTGTTTAATTTAAGAGTTGATAAATCTGTGATAGTTTTTTAATGTTTTAAGATCAAAATGTGATGTTTATCAATATTACAGTGTTCGTTTTAGGTTTACGTTGTTAGAGTTTTACCTGTTATCAGGTATGATAGTTCGTTGCTAGTTTTCAATGATGTTTTCCTAACGAGAGTTTAACACGATATTTGTTATTGCGAAGATCATTTGTTTCTTCATTTATTACTGTCAGCCTTGTTGGAAATCTACCCGATTTCAGGGGTTAGTGTTTCTATGTCTTTGTGTATTGTATTAAAAAGTATAACAAAAATACCGAACTCCAAGACAAATTCAAAAAGGGGAAGTTCATGAAAAACTGACAAACCAAACGCTTTCAACCAACGGATCAAGTGAAAAAGAAATGCCATATTGCTGACCTGGTACATGCATTTTCCGAAGAAAATGGTGGATTAAACCTGGTTTTATAGCTAGCTAAACCTTGCACTTGTATGGCAGTTGTTTATAATTCCGTTATATTGACAAAATTGGGTGAGCAACCGAAGATCAAAATCAATTGCCAAAAGTTAACTGAACAGATAGCTTGAGATCTTTAGCTAAAATGTATTTTCAGTTTATCCTGAAACATCGAATTTTGTCCTAAAAAGGATTCAATGACATTTATAACTCTATATGATCAAGATATGATCTTTCAATAATGTTTGCAAATGAGTGTTTATAGCACTTTTCATGTAACTTACTAACTTGCCCGATTTTTGTTTGGGTTCGTGTTGCTAAGTCTTTAGTTTGCTATGTTGTGTTGGTATGCTGTTGTTTGTATTTTATTTTATTTATTTTTTGCCATGGCGTTGTCAGTTTATCTACTTATGAGTTTGAATGTCCCTTTGGGTATATTTCGCCTGTTTTACTGTATATCCGTAGGCTCAAGAAATATAGCTACCTCATTATAGTTTGTTACAAATTTACTGCAAGTAAAAAATGTAGATATGGTCGATAATTCTCGATACAAATTTCTAATTACGTCAGCTATCTATTTCTGTAATGTTGTCGACATTTTGTTCCCTAAGAAACAAATATATGTTTTAAAAAAAGCCCTCCTAATTTTGTCGACTTCGTAATTTTGTAAAAATTTAAACTTGATAGAATGATCTCAATTTGTAGGTAAAGCTGTCAAAGCCGATTTGAATCCATCCTTGCTATTGCCTTTTAAACGTGACTTCTATACGTACCGAGGATCAGTGTCTGTTCCGCCATGCAAGAATAATATACGCTGGATAATCATGAAAGAAACACGTGACATCTCTATCCTTGTAAGTTTTCTTAAAATGATCTCTGGAAAATATATGTATTAACCAATATTCATGTCTATATCTAGTTTTGTTTTGGTGTTTTGTAAGTATAAATAAAAGGATATTTTGTTTATATGTAAATGAGACAGTAAATCCAACCAAAAAATAACCAAAATACTTCTTCTATAAATCAATGCACAGTCTCTGCAACAACTGACAGGTGTAAATGCAAGATGTCAAGCTCTGAACAGTGTCAATAAAGAGAGACTATCAATGATCTGCTATCAGTGAAGTACTCAGCATCAGTATATCTAATCATATTCAGTGTTCAATATCACTTGTTAAACCGTATAATTCTTTCGCTGTGTTGAAACATTTAAAGTATCCCAGTACTTTCATATAGCTAGCAAAAATACAAAGGGATTGAAAAAACAGTTTTTTTCCACATATAAATGCGAACACAAGGAACATTATTACATGTTTTTATCTTTTTAAGGCATACAGAGCTTTTCTGACATTGAAGACGAAGGAAGGAGAAATAATATCAAAATATGGAAACTTCCGTCCAATCCAAGATTCCTCATGTAATAGACTTGTAGAGGCCAATTTTATGTACTAAAACTCTACCTCAATTTGAAACATTGTTAAAGATTGCCGTTTATTAACGCCAGACTTCCTCAAAATCACTGTTTGAAGGACCAAAATATTTATTTATACATATCATATAAAAATATTAATATATTGCAGTTGCTCTAGTTTAACCAGCAGTAGGTGCCCAAGTATTAAAAAGGCATCAGTATTCCTTATTGTTGAATGCGGACATTGGGATTCGTGTATCAAACAACTCCGTCTTCCCAGATCACATGCTTTGCGGGGAAACTAGTGCTATCGTTTTGTATCAGTCCTGAGTTTTGATTCACATATTTCGCATTTCATATAGATAAAATCTTTAGTAAGATGTTATAGATTTATCTTTACAAGGACAGAGTACAAGGATTTGTTTTGTCAATTGGCTGTACATGTAGAAATGTTATTACAAACGGGATATCACATCCTAATTTTTACGATGATAAATCAGAACGGGTATCCCGATCCAAAATCCACGGAATACAGAATATAAAACTAAGACATCTTAAAGCAAATCCATATATAGAATAATGATCTACATCAAAACCAACAGGGAATATTTAAAAACAGAAAAAACAACACCACATAAGAACCCTTTAATGCAAATCCAAATACAGAATATACAACCACAACACCAAAACCCTGATGGAAAATCCAAATACAGAATATACAACCACCATACTAGAACCCTGAAGGCAAATCAAAATACAGAATTTACTTCCCCGAAATTATAAACTTTAACGCAAATCCAAATAAATAATATTCTACCCCCGTATTAGAACAAAACCAAATACAAAATATACTACTTCAAATCAGAACCCTAAAATCCAGTAAAAATGCAGAACACTTTGGTACCACACCAATATCCTTAAAGCAAATCCACATTCAGAATATATAATCACCAAATCAGGACCCTTAAAGCAAATCCTAATATAGATATACATCCACCAAATCAGAACCCTTTGAGCCAATACAAATACAAACACTTAAAACAAACCGAAATACAGCATATAACAGGACAAGAACGCATTTGTTGTCAAGCTAAACAAACACCCACTTTGAATTCAAAGTACTGTAAATTCTTGACCACTGGCAAAAATGCAAAGTCTAATTAATGCGATTGCAAAAATTTTATGGAGAAAAATTACTACTTAAATAATGAATGCATATTTTTATTATTGCGAATCTCATTCTGTAGCATTTTTCGCATAAATAAAAAAATTGCAATAATTTCTGAATTGATAGTATTGGTAAACAGGAAGAAGGTGTCTGACAGATCCAAAAAGTGCATACTAGGAGATTGCGATATATCAAGAGTGGGGGTATAATATACAAACATACTTAAAAGGGAAGTGGTGATGACTGTTTTTAATGAAATATGTTGCAGTTTATACCAATATAAAATAAAGAGATGTGGACTTCTTGTCAATGAGACAACTATAAAAGGTCCCAACATAAAGAAAATTTGAAACAATTCAATGAAAAAACGACTTCCTGATTAATGACAAAACAATATGCAAACAAAAATAGATCTAACAGACAGCAATCCACGACAACCACTGAATTACTGGCTCCTGATTTGGGACAAACACATAAATAATGTGGAGGGATAAAACAAGTCTATGAGCAATCAACTCTGTCCCTAACCTGGATAAATGGTGCATACTTGGAGATTGCGATATATCATGAGTGCGGGTATAGTATACAAACATACTTAATAGTGAAGTTGTGATGACTGTTTTTAATGAAATGTGTTGCACTTTATGCCAATATAAAATAAGAGGTGGACTAATTGTCAATGAGACAAGCTATAAAAGGTCCCAACATAAAGAAATTTTGAAATAATTCAAAGAAAAAAACGACTGCCTGATTAATGACAAAACAATATGCAAAAAAAAGTAGATCTAACAGACAGCAATCCACGACAACCACTGAATTACTGGCTCCTGATTTGGGACAAACACATAAACAATGTGGCGGGATTAAACATGTTTATGAGCAATCAACTCTGTCCCTAACCTGTGAAAATGGTGCATGCTTGGAGATTGCGATATATCAAGAGTGCAGGTATATTATACAAACATACTTAATAGTGAAGTTGTGATGACTGTTTTCAATGAAATATGTTGCAGTTTATGCCAATATTAAATAAAGAGATGTGAACGCCTTGTCAATAAGACAACTATAAAAGGTCCCAACATAAAAGAAAATTTGAAACAATTCAAAGAAAAAAACGACTGCAACCATAATAACCCATTTAAATACATCATAAAAGTCTTAAAATAGAAAATAACATACATAATCATGGCTAAAATTAAATTACCTTCACCAGCATTTTTAAAAATAGTAACTTCTAAAAATAAATTGACAGCTAATCACCTCAAGACAATACAACATTTCTTTATACATAATTTAAAAGCAGTGTAAGGGGGGTAATTCAAAATGTTGTGTTTGAATTACTTCCCTTACACTGCTTTTAAATTATGTTTTGTAATTGTCCATTAACCAGGAAACCCTTGTTTTCCCCCCCTTTTTTGCCCCTAATTCCTAAACGGTTTGAGCCTTAACCCCCCCCCCCCCCAAAGCCAATCCTAACCATCCCTTTGTGGTATGGAATCTTGTGTTATAATTTCAGAGAGATCCATACACCATTCCACAAGTTATTGTCTGGAAACTAGAAAAATGCTTATTTGGGCCCCTTTTTGGCCCCTAATTCCTAAACTGTTGGGACCATAACCCCCAAAATCAATCCCAACCTTCCTTTTGTGGTCATAAACCTTGTGTTTAAATTTCATAGATTTCTATTTACTTATACTAAAGTTATTGTGCGAAAACCAAATGTCTTCGGACAACGACGACGTGATACCAATATACGACCGCAACATTTTTTGCGGTCGTATAAAAAATACATCTAACAGACAGCAATCCACGACAACCACAGAATTACTGGCTCCTGATTTGGGACAAAAACATAAATAATGTGGTGGGATTACACATGTTAATGAGCAATCAACTCTGTCCCTAACCTGGGAAAATGGTGCATGCTTGGATATTACGATATATCAAGAGTGTTGGTATAATATACAAACATACTTTATAAAATAGTGAAGTTGTGATGACTGTTTTTAATGAAATATGTTGCAGTTTATGCCAATTTAAAATAAGAAGATGTGAACTAATTGTCATTCGACAAGCTATAAAAGATTCCAACATAAAGAAAATTTGAAACAATTCAAAGAAAAAAACGACTGCCTGAATAATGACAAAACAATATGCCAAAAAAACCCAGATCTAACAGACAGCAATCAACGACAACCACTGGATTACTGGTTCCTGATTAGGGAAAGACACATTCTGTATGTGCCTGTCCCAAGTCAGGAGCCTGTTATTCAGTGGTTGTCCTTTGTTGCTGTATATCATATTTGTTTTTTCGTTAATTATTTTGAACATAAATAAGGGCTGTTAGTTTTCTTGTTTGAATTGTGTTACATTTGTCATTTCGGGGCCTTTTATAGCTGACTATGCGGTATGGGTTTTGCTCATTGTTGAAGGCCGTACGGTGACCTATAGTTGTTAATTTCTATGTCATTTGGTCTCTTGTGGATTTGTATACATAAATAATGTGGCGGGATTAAACATGTTTATGAGCAATCAACTCTGTCCCTAACCTGGAAAAATGGTGTATTAGAACAAAATAAGAACAAACTATACAAGAGCAGTTGGAAATGGGTTGACTCAGATCAGCGCAAAGAACAAAAAAAAAACTAACATCAATACAAAATACACAAATCATCAATTACTGAAAGCTAGTTCAAAGCAAAAAAAAAAAAAACAACAACTCGTAAATCAATTATGTTCTCATAGACTAAAGACCTTTTTGTCCGAATATGGATAAGTGAACAGGCAGCATGCTATCATAACTGGGTAGAAAAATAAACACATTTGGAAAAGAAAATTAAGTTTATTATAATCATTACATCATCTGGTATGACACACAACAAATAATACAATTGAATAAGAAGTTATTTAATATCTTCGGTAATTCATCAAAAATATTTCACAACCATACAAATGGAATACAGAATAATCAATAAATGTGTCATATAGTAAATCAACTTCAATAATTAATTAATTTATTTTGCTATATTCAGGAGTAGATATTAGTACACACTTTACTGCAAAAGGAATAGATTCAATACAACAAGTATTACTATATGTAAGTCAACATAGAAATAACTTGAGAGAAATAAGTGATACAAAAAACTGACCACTTAAAAACATATTTAACAACATTTTAAAGTAAATATCTATATAACAATTGATCTATTGATTGATTGGTGTTTGGCGCCACTTTCAGCAATATTAGCTATTTCGTAGCAGTCAGTTTTTATTTTTTATTGATGGAGGGAACCAGAGTGTCTAGAAAGAACCACCGAGCTTTGGTAGAAAAACTTACAATCCTTGTCAATTAAGATTGGAGTCATGCCCACCTGCCACGTGCATGATTTGAACTCAAAAAGTTGACAGGCTAGTGGTACAGTAGTTGGATTACATAGACCACTTGGCTACCCAGGCCCCTTATACAACAATAGATTATTAAAGTAATTAATGACATTCTTAAATGATTGTTAATATGTACACCATAATATATGTATATGAGATTCTTTGATTATTATTAGAAAAATAATTCCTGATAAACATTTGATGTTTCTTAGAAGTTTACTGAAGGAAAGCCACTTTTTTTAATTTGGTTTTCTCATGTTTTTCATCCTTCTTTCCATGTTTCAATTCTCAATTAAGAAATTAAGAAATTATTAAGAAACTTGTACACCATAATATATGTATATGAGATTCTTTGATTATTATTAGAAAAATAATTCCTGATAAACATTTGATGTTTCTTAGAAGTTTACTGAAGGAAAGCCACTTTTTTTAATTTGGTTTTCTCATGTTTTTCATCCTTCTTTCCATGTTTCAATTCTCAATTAAGAAATTAAGAAATTATTAAGAAACTTATGTTCCAACTCCCTCAGACAAAGTTAACTTAAGATGAATTTGGCTATT